AGATCAACCTGGAGTTGCATGCCCATCTAGCGCAGCCCTTCGACACCCAGAACACCTATGATCCAGGCCCTTGATTCCCCAACGACTTCATTGGGGACCGAGCCTCGCACGCTGCGTCTCAACACCAAAACACTAACAGCTTAGGCTCCAGGCCCTCTGCGGCCCTTAAGCCATGGAAGCATGTCCCGACTGAGCCAAAGCACCGGCGTCGTGACGCGCCACAGCATCGTGGCCTCGGCACCTGAACTTGTTTCACCGTCACCATCAACATTACCCCCACCTTAATGATTGCCAAAAATGTTATCATCGCTTGGGTCCGACTTCCGAAAATAGAGCCACATATAATTGTGCGGAAGCTAAGACTACCCAAACATGGTCCAAACTTGTATGTTTAACACCCGCGTAATCTGTCCACTATCACTGGATTCCTTTCGTTCGGCTCGTGTCATTGGGTCGTGGAATTTTAGTAAATCCCGTTGACAGGCGTGTGGTTCGGTGCTGGTGAGCTTGCGAATATCCGTAGCCGTAGACGTAATTGTGCTTCTCGCCCTGCTCAGGCTAACTCACAAGTACTGCCGCCGATACTAACCCGACATTTCGGACTGCACATATGATATCTACAACTGCAAGGGAATCATGAAGCCCATAGCGCCTTTCAATCGGAATGTTGGCAGTCTTAGCTATGGTCAACCTGGTATAACCATGCTTGAAACACGGCAAGAAATAACACCCATGGTATCTGCAGAAGCACTTCCATGCGACAGGCAATGACTAGCCACTAGCCAGTGCCATGCTCTGCAGAGTCGCAAATATCCGTGACAGTCCGGGATCGTTGACAGGCTACTTGTGCTGCAACGAATGCTACACCGCAGCAGCGCAACTCGGAACTGATACCAGCAGGGGGTTTGGAACGGCTGCAAGTTCTTGCCACCCACACTAGTGGACGTTAGGCCAAAATCACGGAAGGCAGGTTTCCCGGCTGCTCTGTGGAAGTCTTCTACCACGAGGAGATAATACCAAAAAGTAGATTAAAGAAAGGAGCAGAAGCAGGAACTTCGGTAAAACCTTCTTGTTGAAGCTGCTCAAAGATCAAACACGAATACGAAGTGGCACTGCGCAAAGCAGTTTCACAAGCACGTCAAGTGTAGCGCCCAAGTTGTTACCAGTTGTACAGCCGCCACTACTGATATTGAAATTCGGGATAGTGCTCCACTATTATAGTCTGGAAGCAAATACGTACAATACATACATTGACATACATGCAGACATGCACACAGACAGACATGCAGACAAGCAGACAGACAGACCGACCGACGGACGGACGGACGGACAGACAGAAAGACCGACGCACAGATACACAGACGGACAGACAAACGGACAGGCAGGCAGACAGGCAGACACACAAATTCCGTGTACTATCAGCATGAGTGAAGGCCATCGCGAGCCTGTTAAGCAAATGCTCTTACGGTCTTGGTGCGTGTTGTTTCAGCGCTAATTGCCGCTGAAACACACTCAAATACTGCTGCAATTACTCACGCCAAGACTCGCGTTTGTGATAGTCACAGAGCAAAGCGCTGATACAAGCGACATCACCCAAAATATCGGCAACGGCACGAGTACTGGCCTGGCTGTGTATGCGCGATGCTGGTACTACATCCAGCGCACACTACGCAGAGACGATGGAATTACAGATCACTCAGTCAATTTTGTCGTAACATCTGCTCGGATAGCGCACCTAGTCGGGCTGAAGAAATGGCACAAGAAGAAAATTATAATGTCAGCTAGTACTACTGACAGACTGGCTACGTTCCATTTCATCGGAATATCGCAACTTACCACGCCGTGCTAAACACAGCATTCGGTAAAAACTGCATGTATGCATGTACCTATTGCCAAGTATTGCAACTATCGCAAGATACGTCAGCATGCTTAAGATGCCGCAAGTTTGATGACATGTTTTGCGGAACAAGCGGTGCAGATGCAACATACAAGAAAGAATGATGCCATGTGCACATGCAACATACAAGAATACAACGATGCCATGTACCACGTCACAAATCATAAACCATGGTACAGGGAAAGTATAGCACCAAACACGAATGCAACAACATGTCGTTGCAGACAGAAGCGCCGGCCGCGTCGAGACAGCGGTGGCCGCTTGTTCGGATCGGTCCTGACATTTCAAGTGTTAGACCACTACACGCCACTCGAGCTACTTTCGCAAGTACTACTAGCCTTGCAGAAAATGTTCCAGTGTGGCCACAGCTACAACAACTTCAAAGACTCCTGGTGCTCTCATAAGCCTTGTTGCTAGTGACATGGTGTTATTCATGCTGCTATACTCCCTCCAATCATTAACAAGGATGCTGATGATGCTGATGCTGATGCTGATGCTGATGCTGATGCTGCTGATGATGCTG